CTGCTCCACTGCTGGTGGGAGTGTAGACTGGTGCAACCACTGTGGAAATCAGTATGGAGATACCTCAAAGAACTAGGCTTAGAGGTCCCATTTGATCCAGCTATTCCTCTAGTGGGTATCTTCCCCAAAGAATTAAAAGAATCATACCACATATGTGCACCTATGTTCATAGCAGCACAATTTATAATAGCTAAAGCTTGGAAGTAGCCCAATTGCCCATCAACTGGAGACTAGATAAAGAAAATGTGGTTTTTAAAATTAAATGGAGTACTACTCAGCCATAAAAAATGAGAAATTAGAGACATTTATACCTAAGTGTATGCGCATTGAGGCCATTCTCTTAAGTGAAATAAATAGGACACACGTGTGTAAATATCAATAGTTTCTCTGTGTGAGAAACAAAGTGGAAATAAGGACTAAAAGGTATAATAGATAATGTGAAATAGGAAGAAAAGGGACAAAGGAGTAGGGGCAGTGGGAGGGGTAGGGGAAAGGAAAGAGGGGAATGGAATTAATATGAGAAAAGGAAAAATGGAAACAAAGTCTTTGTAAATAGAGAAGGATGGAGGGGTTGAAAGGAGGGCAGGGGAAGGGGGAAAAGTAAGAACCAGGAGAGATTATGTAAAGGTGCAAATTTCCAATGATGAATGTCATTATATTGTATACCTAAAATGTACCAATAAAATTAAAGAAGAAAGAAGCCTGGGTTCACTTTTTATGCTAGTTTGCTGCATTCGTAACCTTTGTCACCTGGAATTATCGTGTTTTCTTACCGAAGTCTGCCTTTGTCGCTCTTTCCCCCACCGGAGTGGCAGCTCCTGGAGAGGAGGACTCACTCTGATTGGGCGGTTTCCTCAGGAGCCACTGCAGGCAGGTACTTACAGCCATTTACAGATGGGGAAACTGAGGCCAGGGAGGCAAGTGACTCGGTGCAGCTCTCCCGGTCGGCAAGGCATGAGCCTAGAGGTGGATCCTAGACCCTGCGAGTCTCCCTTCCTGCCGGGCCTCAGGTGGCAAATGCGCTGACAGGCGCGTGGGGCGTGGATCGCGGGAGCAGGAAATGCGCTCCTTTCTGGGGGTCCCACCCCCAGGCTCACGCGGCCTGGGAGCCCCAGGACCCCTCAGGAGCTCTGGTACAGACTGGGCAAATCCCGTCCCGGGAGGATGATGGGAGTGCTGCCCGGAAACGGCCCGGCCCCACGGGCGAGGCCGTTGGCGCCCAGACCCGCGTAGAGCTCAGGGTCTGCAGCGGTCAGAGGACCGGGCGCCGGCCGCGCGGGCTGCAATTCCGCATGCGGCCGCGTGGGCGCGCTGTTGTGCAGCGAGTGAGCGTCACGCTTGGGAGCGGCGGGACCTTCCTGCCCGGCCTCCCGCCTCCAGGCTGGGGTCTCGCGGTCACGGTGGTAGGCGTGGGCCGTGGAGCCCAAGTCGGATGAGCGAAACGCGGGAGGGAGGGGGTGCAGGGGCCACCCGGGGCCGCCCAGGCTCTGGACCCCCGCAGGCCTGCGGGCCCCCCTGACCTGCGGGGCTCGGGCTGGGGCGCGTGGCGGGGGCGTGGGATGAGCTGACCCTGCCCGGGTGCGCGGGTCCGCGGGCTGACGAAGCCGGTGGTCGGGGTGCCAGGCCCGGCAGGCAGCGCCCCTGCCAATTAGCCCAGGGCCCGGGGATGCTGGCTGCGGGGACAGCAATAAACCAGATCCTTTCTGCCAGAAGGGAAGAGAGAGGGGAGAGGGGATTGAGCATCCCTGGGAGCTCGCTCGCCCGCACACGCACAGGGCACGCGTTTTCCTGTGGGCCGGGCGCGTCCTGGGCGCCAGGAGGACCTCTGGCCAGGGCCGCCGTGCGTGTGTGCCGAACGCAGCCCATGTTCTCCACGGCAGGGAGGAACATTTCCGAAGAGGACGTTTCACGCACACGCACACGCACGCGCAGAGCTTTCCGTAGCTGTGAAGCGGGGTTGTTTTCTCAGGGGTCCACGCTTGGTGAGAGGGTGGGCAGGAGGGTTGTTTTTCCGGAGACTAGTGGAGAAAAATTCTGTGTGTGTGTTTGTGTGTGTGTGTGAGAGAGAGAGAGACAGAGACAGACACAGACAGACACAGAGACAGAGGGAAAGAGAACATTTTTCCTCATCTGGAAAAGCAGCAACTGTATGTATTTTTCAAAAGGGAGGAAATGTGGCTTTGCTTGCGGAGAGACGGACCAAGAGAGCTGTCGTTTTGCTGTTGGCCACACGTGTGCACAGGCTTCTGCCCCTCTCGCGCGCCCCGCACATCCGTGTGCTCTGGGGGAGCACGGATTCTTTCTACCCGGCGAGGAGAAGCTTCCCCTGCTGCAGGGGGTCGGCATGTTCTCTGCCTGCAGACTGGGGGTTCCTGTGAGCTGAACCACAGTGTGGATGCCCCGGCCGAGCCCACCTGGAAGACAGAGCCGTTGTCAGGGTGTGCATGTGTGTGTGTGTGTGTGTGCTCGCACAGGCTCGACATGCGTGTTTTGAGACGTGCATTTTCCTGCCTGGGCAGAGACAGCCTAATAGATTGAGGTCCCTCTGCACCTACACACACACGCGTGCGCACACATGCACACACTTTTCCGAGTAATGAAAGCGAATGAGACTAATTTTTATTTTATGAAGGAGAGTATACTTCTGCCCAGTGACTTTTCAAAAGTGAAAATGGAGAACTTTTTTTTGGCCAGGAGATAACCATAAATGTTCTGCAAGCTGAGAAACAGCATTTGTGTTTTGTGTAGTGCAAACACACAAGTGCCACATTTCTACCTTTGTGTGTGTATCTGTATGCTGAGGGGTGTTTTCATGAAAAAGAACATGTATTTTTCTGCTCATAGGGATTCAGCTCGAGTAATTTTTTTTTTTTTTTGCCTATCACAAACGAAAACAATTCTCTTCTCTGTGTGTGAGTGTGTGTGTCTGTGTTGAGGAATTTTTTCCTTTCTTGAAAAAGAACATATATTTTTCTGCTTGTAGAGAGTTCAATATGAAGAGATCTATTTCCTGCTTGTTAACACAAATACACAATTCTCTTTGGGCTGTGTGTGTGCGTGCATGCATATGTGCGTGTTTCTTTCCAGTGGCAATGCTTTAGAGAGAGATTTGGGAAAGATAAAGAGAACAAGAGACTATTTCCAGGCTGGAAACATGTATTTTCCTGTGAGCTGAGAACCTGTTGTAGCGTGTGGGTTCTCAGCGGACCGCAGTGTGGTGAGGGGAGGCTGCTACCTGAGCACCTGTGACAGAGGCAGAGGTGGCGACAGACAGACAATGATGTTTTTCTGTATGGAAAAAGATTCATAATTTTTGGTTGGCAAAAAAATGAAAAGGAGGAGTTTTTGATGCACAAACAAACACAGTTTTCAGGTGTGGCAGGGAGGGAGAGCACAGGGATGCTCACACGTGCCCTTTCTCCAGTGGGGTCCCCTCACCCAGCGCTGAAGCACTTTGAGGGACGCAGCTTGGGAGGAAGACAATTATTTTCTACCGACGCACACAGGCAGACTTTTACGAGCTGACAATGAGAAGGAAAGAGTGGATTTTCAGGCAGTCACACCTAGTGGGCAGAGGGCATTTCCGCCCGTGTGCATGTTTGTGTGCATGTGTGTGTGTGCACAGAGAGGGCAGCTGGCTGTGTGAACAGGCGCCGTGTTCCTGCCGCCCGCAGAGCGCCGTGCAGGAAGTTTGTTCTCCGGGTGACAGAGCTTCCAACATTTCCCCAGTGACAGGCGGATTTGCTGACAGACACTGAGTTTCCCGAAAGCCAGGGGTGAAGGGAAAGATGTGGGTTCTCAGGAGTGCAAACTTATTAAAAGAGGGGAGAGATTTTTGTGAGTGTGTGAAGAGGTCATTTTTCTTCCTAGCAGAAAACACGTTTCCTGCTTGTAAGAAGAAAAAGACAATGAGCAGATGTTTCTCTGCACGGGTGATGAGTGTGTACACACACACCCAGAGCTCGGTGGGGAAGGGGGCTGTGCGGCAGTGCAGGAGAGGAGGTGTGCGGGTCGGCCCTCTCCGAGGAAGAGAGGTTGCTCTCTGGTTATAAATACACCGGAAATCTCCAATGAGCTGAGACTGTTCTGGGTTCGGAAGCCTGAGCGAGTGTCGGAGGGAAGTGTGTGCGCACACGCGTGTGCTGTACTGTCACATCCTGAGGAGCAGGTGGCCGGGCCAGCGCCTCAACTGGAGCGGGCGGGGCACGTTCCCTGCCCAAGGGCCACGCACACGAGTGTGCAGCGAAAGATACTGTTTTCTCTCTTCCTGTCCAGAAAGCAATAGGTCTCTGAGCTCATGGGGAGACAGGCTCAAGTGAGACACGTGGGTTTTTCTGCACAAGCACAGACACACGCACAGGCTTCCTGGAGTGAAGAGGGTGAGTGTGTGCGTGTGTCTCTGTGTGCCCTCATCAAGAGTGGGGCCAGCTCCGCCTCCAGGGACCCTCAGGGGAGCCGTTCTGAGTGACAGGAAGACTCTCTCCCATTTGGTGACACACGCAGCTGGGCCCGAGTTCGGAAATGAGAGGGAAGAGTTTGGCCAGGAGCCATATGGGCCTTTCTGCCTCACGAGTGTGTCCGTGAGTGTGAGAGTGAGCCCCAGATGGACTCTCTGGGTGGAAGAAGGCACTCGGTCTCAGCTATGGTGACGCAGGCTGACAGCAGGCTCATCTGCCCTGTTTCTCCTGCACGGGGCACACGCATGCATGCACGCATGCACACACGCACGGTTCCCTAAGTGTGGAAGGGGTAGGTGAGGGCTCTCGGCAGGGTGTGAGCCTCCGAGAGACTCTTTTGGGATCTGGCGAGGCCTCTCTGGGACAGTTACATCTGCCGTCCCTGAGCCTGCCCAGGGCTCTCGGTGTGCTGCGGGGGCCCTGGGCCACACTTAGGGTGGGAGGTGACCAGGACTGGGCCACAGGCTCTGCATGTTGAGAACCGTGAGGCTGCCCTGTTCCCCGTGACCACATGTGTGTGTGCATGTGTGAGACAGTGACACACGCAGGGAACACTTCTGCTTTCAGAGAGACAGAGCAAGACAGGCAGACCCCGAGACACTGCGCACACGTGGGGTGACTCCACGTGCTGACCGGTGTGAGTGGTCGCATCTCTCTGCTGAGCCCTGGAGCCCTGGGACCTGGCCGAGGGGGAAGAGTCTTTGCTGGGGGCGTGGGGGGCACCGGTGCCTGCATGCAGGGCAGGGGCAAGGCTGTGCTCTGCGTGGATAGAAACCGCACATTGTTTGTCACTGCAGGGGAGACAGGCATCACAGAGCGATGCACACACACACACACACACACTTTTCTGCATGCTGAGAAATAGGATTGTTTATTTCTCAGGTGTTGAATCCTTAAAGAAGGAAGTAATTTCTGTCTAGTTTTAACAACAAATGAAATTTTCTGACAGATCAGAGACAGACAGAGACAAAGAGACAGAGAGACAGAGATCTTTAAAGAGACAGAGACAAAAGGAGAGAGACAAAGAGACAGGAAGACAGAGACAAAATAGACGAAGATAACAGCAGGACAGAGACAAAGACAGAGACAGAGAGAGGGAGAGACAGAGACACAGATGCAGAGAGACAGAGAGAAGTGACAGAGACAGCCAGGGAAGGCTGGCGTGTGCAGGGAGGAGGGCACTGGGAGAGGGGCTGGGGCACTCGGGGCCCTGTGAGCGGACGGCCGCTTCTCTTCTCTTCTCTTCAGCAGCCCACGCAGATGCACACATTAGTAGGCAGGCGCAAGGCCGCTCTGTGCTGAGAGCCTGTGGAGAGGCTCTGCCCACACACGCGTGGGAGTGGGGTCAGAGGCCCGGCTTGCTGTCTGGGAGGAGACAGCTCCGGCTCTGCTGCGGGGACAGACCGGGCCCCAAGCACGTGTCCGCAGCACACAGGACTCGTGCCGTGCCTTGAGTGCACTGCCTGTGGGGCCCGGCGCACCCCGCAGTGACCACCTGCAGGGGAGCGGTGGGGAGCCCTTCTGGCAGGCCGGAGAGATGCTCACTGTCTCTCTCTGTGCCTCTCACACATCCACGCCCCGTTGGAAAAGCTGAGAAATAGGAAGCGCTCATGTGTGCTTCAGTCCAGTTCATTTTGGTTAAATAAGCAATGTTCTGCCTAGAGATAGAGCTGGGAAGATATCCACCTACGTGTGGATGTGTGGTGTGCGTGTGCGTGTGCATGAGAGACAGACAGACAGAGACAGAGAGACAGGGACAGGGGGACAGAGACAGAAAGAGAGGG